CTTTGATGAAGGAGGAAAATAAACTGAATTTTGATGTCAGTCCTGAAGAGGATATTCCCAACTTCATGCTAGGAGGAAATGAGCAAGAAAAGCCCAACTGTGAAGCTGGGGCTCTTTGTTGTTTTCCTGAAGATGAAAGAGATTGAAAATGCAAAACCCACAGAATGTGCTATAAATGGGGAACGTTCTGTAGGTGCATCTTAATTTACATGGCTTTGAACAGAAATTTTACACTCTCTTACAAATAAGAACACTTAATTTGCCGTGAAGGAGATTCTTATCCAGTCCTTAGCAGAAGAATAGTGCTTAAGTCATTTTACATATTTAGAGACTAACCCAAACTTTGCAGCTAATAGGAGAAACTGATGTTAGAGAAAGAGAAAAATGCAAGGTCAGCAGAGAGAGCTGAAGGAAACTCTCTTTTATAACTTAAGAAAACATGTTGCATTTCATGAAAAAGCAAATGAAGTTAGCAGGATCTGTGCCTCTGATAGCAAACATCTGAAGTGGCCTTTTGGGGAAGACACAGACATTTTCAGGATGCTTTGCAGTGCCCTGAGAGGACACCCAGCTCTGCAAGCCAAGGAACGCTCCAGCCTTACAGGAAGTCAGTGAAATAATTATGTAATATGCCACTAACTAATGAAAGCTGTCCTGCAACCAAAAAGGGGTGTTTTGCTAGAAATCTGGATCCAATTTTCTTCATTAAAAAAAAAAAAAAATCCCAGTCTTCTGGACTATCCAGAGAACTCTGCATAACTATGTTGAGTGCTCCAAGTAACATGCCTGGGGGATTTCTTAGCATCTTATTGCATTTCTTTATACCTTTCCCAGCACAGCAGTTCCAGCCCTGAGAATGCAGCAATAACCCAGAGCATCTGAAACTGGGAGAGAGAGAGAGGAAGGAAGGCAGAAATCTGCCTTCCAACACAGCACCATCTGTGATGAACACCAGAACGAAAGGGATCTGCCTGGAGACTGCTCCTCCTCATGCATATTCCGTGGGAAAGCAGGAGCCAGAACTGGCTGGACAGCCCTGGAGTCAAAGAGCAGCATCACCTGTGCTCTGTTTTGTTTAACTCTGAGCACTCCATTACCTCAACACCGGCCTCACAAGGAATATTGAGCTGGAGTTAAGTGAGTTTCCACCACAAAACGAGCTGCAGATGTTCCAGCCCTGAATACCTGGCCGGATCAAGTGGCTGTCATTCGATAGGCAGCGCTGGGAATGCCAGCCTGCCTCCAGTGCTGCTGCTCCCTGGCCTCTGCACCTCAGCCAGGGCTCCCAGGAGCTTCCTCACGGCCCTGAGCTCATTAGGAAGAAAACAATCTGAAAGCACCACTCATTAAACTGGCCATTGTTCATCACTGGCAACAAATGTTCAGTAGAAGAATATCAGATGTATTCACGCTAAAGATGAGCGTCCAGATGCCAAGGCAACAATTCTCTAATTATTTCTTCTTTTCTTTCCTATTGCACCAAAACTATTACAATAAATTGCTTGGAATGGTTGATCATCAGTAATATAACTGTCCTTTTCCACTGCATTCCCAATTTGAATGATTTAAAAATTTTCTTTCAAATGCCCTTTTTATGCAACTTTTTTTTTTTAAAAAACCAGCTCATTAACATTCAGATTTTCCTCCAAAAGCATCCGTTGGATTTGGGGCATTATGGGGTCTCAAAGCTAGTAATGAGATTAAGAAAATCCTCCAAAGGACACAAATAATCAGTGTAAAACAAACAACCTTGAGGAAAGGAAATAGCTTTACCCTGTGCCTCAGAGTTATGGACCCCCTTTCTAAAAGTCTTTCCCCTCATTTCTGGTTATAATCCTTTTCCTGGCTGTGGCTGTCCTAATTACATGAGTGTGCAGAAATTTCCAAGAGGCTACAAAGGCACCTTTAGAGGTAATTTAGAAACCTCCTGCTCAAAACCAGCCTCAGGCAGGGTGGGATGCTCAGGTGGGATTGGAGCACCTCCGAAGGTGGAGACTCCACAGCCTCTCTGGAGAACCTGTGCCTGTGGCTCACCAACCTCACAACAAAAACTAAAAGAAATCAGCCCATGTTTGAGAAAACAGCCAACCTCAGGTGAGGTTTCACCTGCAGAGCTAAACCTGCAGCACAGCCTCACTTCTGGACAGCCAATGGGAGAACTTCCAGCTCTCCCATTCCCAGCCCAGCCCCAGCAGAAGGACAATTTGCTGTCCACAAGGCAGATCCCATCTATGTTATCACCATTTCTTCTCTTCCCCCAGAGAGGAGGCCAAAATCAGAGATGTGTTGAATGAACTAAACAGCACCAGTTTCCAAAATCAGAGATGCGTTGAATGAACTACACAGCACAGTATTTCCACGCTGGGAACTCCGTGGCTGGAGTGTGACCACGAATGGCACAATTTAGGAGCAGACTGAGATGAAGACACAGCTGAGGTTCTTGGGAGGTTCCTGCCCCTCCCAGGCAGGGAAGGCTCTCCAGGGCTGGCATTAACTCAGCAGCCTGCAGCTCGCAGATAACAAATTGCTATCTGGGACTCTTGTTGGGCAAGAAAAAGCAGGACTCCTCTCAGAATGCAAATCACACTCCTCTGCTCCATGTTGAACTAAAGGGTTGCCAGATGCACACACTTGAGGAACTTTTCCTGTTTCTTAGGTATCAACACATCTCTGATGCACAGGCTGTTGCAACTCCAACAGTTCCAGGGCCAGAAGAGTAAAACCACCAGTAAACTTCATAAAACACCCTGACATAGCTCACCAGCATAGAAATCATCTCAAAAACCAAAACCAAATGTTTCCAGAGAGAATCTAAAGGAACAAGCAACCCATCTATCTCCTGCGGCCTATAGGCCCATCACTCTTTCCTCTGAAATTTCAAACCTATTTTTATCTTATCCTGCATCTTCAGAAGTACTTTTCAGGAAGGCATCAATTTATAAGTAGTTCAAGTGTGGCCTTCAGTAAATCCTAATTAACTGAGTCTGAGAGGGCGTTTTGTTGTCAATGTAGTTACTACTGCAACAGTGTCCCTGGAAAGACAAGATCCATCACTGCTGACACAACTCACTTCTAAAATAAATACTATGGCAGAGGCCAGGAAGATCTGTAGGCATCTCTAAAACACCCTTGGAGTTCAGAGCAGATGTTGCCAGTGTTTACACTTTTTAAACCACTGGGATATAAACACCTCACTATAAACACCACTGAAGTTTTGCTTTTCTTCTCTTCATTTTGTGTGTGTTTATTTTAGTGTTAAAAATGTTAACTTCCAGAATAAGGAAAATAGCAACAGATGTTTAACCTAAACAAAAACTGCTGCAGTGGAGTGTATTCCTTAAGCTGTTCTTTTGCTTTTGAACTATTAAAGCTAAGATCTGGTTAAATAACAATTACTGGAGAAGAGGGTGGGGAATAAAAAGGGGCCTGGAAAGAATCTTCCATAAATATTAGGCATAATTACAATGAATTGAACTAATGAGCCAAAACTACAGAGCAACAAAACTTAGTGAACAGAACGCTCAGAAAGATGTATTACGTAAATAAAGCTTTGCATAAAACTCCTTGGTCTTCATCAGAAGTTACCAACTGCTTCCAAAGAAAACACTAATTACTGCAGAGAGCAGTGAAAAAGTTAAAGGATCCTGAAATGAAAACATTAAAGGATCCTGAAAGTTTTCTTTTTTTTTTTTTTTTTTTTTTTTTCCTTTTAAACGAGTGACTTTTCTTGCTCTAACAAAGAAAGCATGGGATAAGAAAGAAGTTGGGAATTCAACTTCATGGAACCCCAGCTCTGTATTTTTCAACTCAAATCTTCTGTAAAAGAGCTCAATCCGAGTGAATATATACATATTTGCACAGGAAAGAAAAAGCAGGAAAAAAGGAGAAACAAAGTTATTAACAGTACAACAGGGAGCCCCTCCACTTCCTGAAGGGAAGAAATGTGGCCATGCTGGTTCAGGGATAGAAGAGACTGTAATTTCCAAAGTGAGATTCAGCTGCCTGCGTTCTGTCCTGGCCTTTTTCTGAGCACTGTGAACAGATATCTCCCTGGCCTGCGCCTGTGCACGCTCCGCATTGTTTCTTTCCTGACAACTCCAGCAAGTTTATTTTCTGAACGAACATGGAAAGCGTTCCTGCTGAATCAGAAAAAAAAAAAAAAAATCTTTTCGCGGCGCTTGTGTGTGGCTACAGCAAAACCAGCGCCGCTGCCAAGCCGAATTAGCTCAGTGGTGCCTTTCTCTCCAGGCACAGCCAAGCCATAACCGCTTCTCGCAGCCGCACGTAGAGAAAGCTCCGCGCAGATGAACAAACTGATTCTGCCCTGTTACCTCAGGCGCCTTCCCAGCAGGGCTCGGAGGGCTGACAGGGGGAGGGCAGCGAGCCCCAGCCCCGCCGGACACAGCGGGCCTTGTGTAAGGCCGGGGCGGCGCCGGGGGCCGGACAATGGCCACGGCCCCCGGGGACACGCCGGACACCCGGCCCCCGGGGACACGCCGGACAATGGCCACGGCCCCCGGGGACACGCCGGACACCCGGCCCCCGGGGACACGCCGGACAATGGCCACGGCCCCCGGGGACACGCCGGACACCCGGCCCTGGCGCGGCCGGGCTGGGCCCACGCGTGTCCGGCCGCGGCCCAGCCCCGCGGCGCCGGGACAGACGGACAAACCAACCGCCGCCCGCCCCCCGGCCTTCAGTGCCAGCAGTGCCGCCGGCCAGGGCAAGGAAAGTTGGAGCTGAGGGGGGGAATGTAAAAATAACATAAAAAAATCACAAAGAAAGAAATCCCTGCCCTGTAACAAAGCTCTGAGAACAGCCCGCGGGGCGTCCCGCACCGGCGATCTGCAAAAACACTCCCGCTGACAAACAACAGCGAGCAGCGCTCGGACGAGGATCCATCCCTGGAAGGGATCCATCCCTCCCCGTGCGAGGGATCGAGGGATCCGTTCTCCCCCGTGCGAGGGCACTACCGATTTCCCGTGGCCAGGCACTATTACCTTCGTAGCACAGGATGCCGATATTGTTGTTCATCTTGTCCAAGTACTGGTAGTTCAACAGGTCCATCCTCATAAACAGCATTTATCGGGCTGGCGGAGACGAGCGGCTCCGGGCGGGGGAGGCAGACGGTGCCGAGGCGCTCCCGGCTCCCAAAGCCCAGCAGAGGCCCAGCCTGGAGCGGGTCGGGAAGGGGGAGCGGGCTCCGACAGCCCCGGGAACGCGAGGGGAACGCGCTGCGGGGCGGGGGGAGAGAGCCGTGCGGGGGCTTCCCGAGGGTTCTTCCAAGTTAAAAAAAAAATAATAATAATATTAATAATTAAAAATAAGAGCGTAAAAGCAAAGCGAACGCGGCGGGGCAGGGCAGGCAGGGAGGAGGGCGCAGCCTGCTGCGAGCGCCGGCGCTGACAGCGGCAGTGCCCGGCACTGCCCGCCGGGCCCCGCTCCGAGCCCGCTGCCCTCAGAGCCCGGCCCGCCCCGCGCAGGCGCTGCCGGCCGGCCGCGGGTGCTTTGTGCTCCGCAGGGCCCGGCGGGAGCGGGGGAAGGAGGGAGGGCACGGCCGCGTCAGAGCCGCTCGCACAGGAAACAGCGGCGGCAGGAGGAGGAGGAGGGGGCGGCTGCGAGGGGAGGAAGCGGCGCTGAGGGGCCTGCTCCGGGCACGGGCGGCAGCGCGGCGGCTCGGGGGCGGGTGCTGAGCCTGCTGTTTGAAACCAATTCTGCCTCGCTGCGCTCCCCAGCACGGCCTCAGCGCCTCGCCGCGAGAAGCAATGCGCTGCTACAGCAACAGCAGCCATGGAATCACGGCGTGGCATCACAGGAATGATACATGGAATCGCAGGAATGAGGCAGACAAAATAAAAGGCGTGAGGCAATGGCCATTGGCCCTGTATATAGTTTATATATAAATAGTTTAAAAGGTTTCTCTCTCTCCATATAAACAGGCATCGCACACGTTGCCACAGTTCCACCAGGGCACAGCCAGATGGGATTTTTTAAGGGCTATTAGTGGTTAAACATTCCGGGCTCTGGCTCTTCAGCAGCTGCCCGAGCCCCGGCTGGGCTGCCAGAGCCGGGGCAGCCTGGCGCTGCTGCAGCTCTGCCAGCTCAGGATGGGGCTGCCCGCCCCTGTGCAGCCCAGCCCGCAGCTCAGAGCTCAGACAGATGTGTGCCACTCACCCCGACACGGCGGAACATCTGGGCACATGATGGGCATCAGCATTTCCTGCGGCTCATCAGCACCTGAAGTCTCGGGCTGATGCGAAAAGAGAAATTTTAAAAAGCTAATGGAATCCTAATTTTCCCTCTGCCCTCCTCAGCTTGGAGCACAGCTCATCCCTGCCCGTCTGGGATGGGGAATCTTCATGGTGCACACAAGGGCAGAACCAGTAAAAAACTTCAATTTCCACCCTGAGAACTTCTCCCCTCTGCTAGAGAAGGGGAAGGGGTGACATGACAGAGGCAAGTCAGAGCGACACTTTGTGATGGCGTTTTGAGAGTCACTGCTTGAATGCTCTGGGTATTTCAGTAAGAACAGGTAGCTTAAATTTACTGCTGTGTCTACTGAATATTCTAAGGAAGATTGCCTAGAACATAAAAAAGGTTTCTCCCCACTGCAGATCAGATACACAATGCCGAGGTAACAGTACATATCTTAAATGGCATCTAATACAAAGTTGCAGTTGCTTTACAAAAGTTGCAACCACACAGACCAAAGCAGCCCATTATATTTTCTAGAAAGAGAAACTTTTTTTTATTAAAGTGTATGGTGATTTTTAAGCAGGGCATGAGAAGTTTTGCATATTGTGCATACTCAGAGATGTTCTACACCAATCACTCAAATTAAAACAGCCATCTAATAATGACATCAAGAGAAATCGGAGCCCTCGAAGATATAAACAACAACAAAAATCCACACCTACAACATTAAAAAAGAGAGGCAGGTTTCTTCAGCATGAAATGCAGGTTCCTCACCAATTTTGGGACAATATTTTGATATGTACAGTTTTAACATGGAGAGCATCCCTGAATTCACAGGAATGCAATACATTTATTGGGTGCTTGGGAAGGACAAGAAGATAAGTATTTGATTTTTTTGCTTTAAAATACTTAGATTTTTGTTGGAGGTGCAGGTGATGAGGAAGAAAACACTATTTAAACTCCTTCAGAGCAGTTTTCTATGAGACAGGGGTGCACATGGGCATTACAATTCCCAGTCCAATTTGAATTCTCTAGATTCAAAGTTACATATTTCTTCAAGCTGTTTGGAAAAGCATGGTTGGGTGCTGTCCAGAAACCACTGACTACTCAGGAGTGCTGTCCAGACACTAATAAAGGAGTTAATTTTTCTTTATTAGACCAGTAGTCACTGATGTGCAGGTTTTTAGGCAGTAATGATCCCTGTTAGGTGAATGGCTTTCAGCATTTCAGTACAAACTCTGATTGGACTTGTCAAATGTTGCATAATGAGCATGCTTCACAAAAAATAATAATAAACTGTACCAAACACCAAGAGCTTTTTGAACTTCTAAATTAAAATCAGAATGCTGCAAACGAGGCAATGCCTAGTGAAAGAGTGGGGGGAGGGAATTATCAATGCAAACGTATCCCTTGCATTTTAAACCCAAAATCCATTCTTAGCAAAACTTTCTTTGAAAGAAAATTTTATCAGCTCAACAAACCCAAGTCCAGCAGACATTAACCTCAGATGCTGACAGGATCACTGTAAAGTACTTGGTTCCTGTCAGCAAATTCTCAATTCAGATTGCTGCTCATGGTTCTGAGACCTTCCACTGAGCTGAAAGCAACAATCAATGGCTGGCAAAAAACGCTGCTTTGCATCAGTTCCTTCTGCATCCCGAGAGCTGCAAACACAGAGCCGAGCTGAGGCATCTCTGCCTCACTGTCTGCACTGTTTCCTCTAGGATCGAACCCTCCCTGCTGCTGGAGTGAATCCCAGCCCTGGGATCCGCTGGGAATAACGCGCTGAACTTTAACACAACACAACAGCAGCCTCTAGAGGTAACGGGAAAGCCGCGGCTCCATGGGATTGACGTGGGATTTTATTCTAATCGTCCCACTGAGCGGGGCAGAGCCTTCAGCCTCCCAGGGATCTGCCTGGCTTCAACTCAGAAAGCAAATCCAGTCTGCACACAGCAATGCCTCACCACCTCGGAAGGCACAAAAAGCAAAGTAAGGAAAGCAAAAGGAGCAGGTAAATCACCGCTCTAAATCACCGCTTAATATAAAAGTAAATCCTTACAACTCTACATTATTCACCTGGATTTTTGTAGGGAAAATCCTTAATATATCAAGTCTGTGATACCAGATTTGACAGTGAGAGTTTGTATGGGTTTTAGATTATTTGAACAAGCACTGAGCTGCTTTAGAGCATTACATACATACAGGGAGTTGCTTTTTTCTGTGCCTTTTCTGCCCTCCTCGACCCTCTTCTCTCACACATACTGCTGCCTCAGGCAGTGCTGAAGAGCCTGAGAAAATAAAATTCCTTCGGTGCCTGCACTCCACAACATCTTCCAGGGGGAAAATGGCAACACTGGCTGAGAATCAACCCCACAGATGGCAGACAACTGAAATTCCACCCGTGAAGATCATCAGCAGAGAGCAACTATTGAAACAGTGACCAGTTCTGCAACTGAGGAAAAAATAGTCTTTACAGAGTGGGACACACTCTGCTGTGTCTGTGTGGTCACACAGTGCTGCTCAGCATAATTCCATTTATAATTATCAGCTGCAGCTCCTCAGGACAGACAGGCACCTACTGAAACCTCAGTGCACACCGAGGAGGAGGTGGAGGAATAAAGCAAGAACAGTTAAAAACGGGTTTTACCTTTTTCTTGCCCTAAGAAAAGAGCAAATTCGAGTTGAGGGTTGCTAGGTGGCGACGTGCCTGAAGGAAAAGGCTTTTCTTTTTCCACGCACTCCATGGCAGTGGGTGGGAAAAGCTGCTCTCAACATCCCTGGTTTTATATATGTTAGAGTGCACTGCACAGGAAAAAGGCAAAACAAAAATTCCCCTTGAAGCAGGAGGAGGTGTTTGCTTTGAAATCCACTCAGGTGTGATGATGAAATACAGTTAAAATGGACTGAACACCAGCAAGGCCAGAAATGGATGACAAGGAAAATGACATTTCAAGTTCCTTGCAAGCAGCAATCTCCCAGCTGTGCCTCTGGGATCCACAAACACAACTCTTCCCTCAGTGAGTCAGATACCACAAAAATAACTTTACACACTTCTTACCAAGCATTAAGCACTCACAACTGCACTAGTGAACAGAAGATATAAAAGCACACATCATTCCTATGTGCCTTCTTCTACTTTTTTTCTTAATCATAAAGTTGCATTACAAATAGATTTTAATCACACCCAACTACCTGTTCCCTTAAAATCAACAATTAAAGAAATGCCCATCAGGTAGAATAATTAAAGTAAATCAATAATTAAAGAAAGCCCCATCATGTGGGGCATCTCTGAGCTCAAGCTGGTGCATTCCTGTTTGACCTGTCCCCTAGTTAAAGGTTTCAACCATTTGCCAGACATTATAGAACACAAAAGATGCCTTTTTAATTATCACTGCAGCTTCTCAAGCCTGAAATAGGAAGCTTACACCCAATATTGTAACGAAAGGATTTGTGATCCTATCATTCTTGTCGTAACCTAAACGTAGGGAATGCTGCTTAAAAATCCCAAGCACAGCATTATCTAGTGAGGAAATGTGTTTGTGAGTGTGTGTGTCACAAGGTGCTGGGTAACTCACACTGGAATCCCCAGAGAACAAAATGCCAGGGAAACCTAAAGTACAGAGGTGCCTAAGAGTGTCTGGAGTTGCAAGCACTGCTAGGGCCCAGGAATAGATGGTAATAGCTTGTCTGGACTGGCAGATGGACTTTTTTTTTGTTTTTTTTTTTTAATTAGTTTTTTAATGCCTTGCTGTACTGCAGTTCTTACTCTGTACTTCAGTTCTTATTCTGTACTACTCACTTCTTTAAAGACACACAGATTTCAAACAGCATCTCACTGTAGTGGTAAATAAAATTTCAGATCACTTGTTTGTAAATACTGAGTGACTTAGGACCAGCTATTTCATACCAGATCAGAAAATTCCAAGGTGTTTATCAACTCAAAAAGCTTTTGGTTAATGAAAACCTGCCCTCAGCAGCAGGAACCATTTGCCTCCCACCCCACACTAAACACACCTGCTATCCTTCCACAGCCTTTTCCAGGTGGGAATTTGGGCCAGGAAAGGCAGAATCCAAGGCAGTGCACATACAGAGCTTCCCTTGTAGTTCATTTTTTTTTGGCAAAAAAACCCACATTTAATTCTGGGTTCTACAAAAAATAGGCACAGAGGTGCTGGGTGAGGCCTCTGGTTTATCAAGAATATTTTCCATTTCTCACTGGTATCTTGGAGCTCTCAGTTTGCTGGTGTTTTTCTCTTTTTGTTTTCTTAGGCTGAGCTGAGAACACTTCAAAAATGCAGCTAAAGCACACAACAGATAAATCTAGTT